CAAGACCGGGCTTCAGGAATGTAAAGCCTGTTGACTTTCACCTAACATAGTTTCTTTAGATCACATTTGGCAAACAATTGTAGGTAAATAATGAAAAATACTGTCTCTCAAGTAACTGAAAACAAAGGATGAAAGGATGTTTTGAGTCAAGCTAAAGAACTGTGTAACCAAGTGTTCTTGGTCTTCATGACATCGTTTTAAGAACGCTTTAATATATGGACATCATAATAGGTACTTAACTACTCACGTTTGTAAAGGTTAAAAGGGGTGGGAGATAAATTAAACCCTCTTATTCTTCTATTGACTATTCCAAGCTCTGGGATCATTGGATAAATAGAACAAATATTTTTTCTCATTTACTACTTTTGTAAAGTGGATTTATAGATTCAGCTCCCTGCCAGCGAGTCAATGCCAATTCATAGCAACCCTGTAGGACAAGGCAGAACTGCGCCTGTGAGTTTCCAAGATCGTAACTCTTTACAGGAGTAGAAAGCCTCATCTTTCTCCCTCAGAGCGGCTGGTGGTTTCAAACTGTTGACCTTGTAGTTAGCAGCCCAACGCATAAGCACTATGCCACCAGGGGTCCTCATAAATAATTTATAGATGCTTTAATTTCCTTCTAAATGTCCACCTTTGCTGTCTTTACGTCATATTTAAATCTGTACATAAAAGTAAAATTTGATGCATCCTGTCACCAGAGAAATATGTTAAAACTGGCAACATATCCATCCCAAATGATGGGAAATAGCTGTATTTCTGTTTAAAAAGTTTATAAAATGAATAAACATAGGGGCTTTAGAACTTCCAAAAAGATTTGTAACTTACATTGGGGGTTACACAACTTTGTATTTCACAGTCTAAACTGCTAATCATCTATCTCAAGTCTACTCCTCCTCTTATATCCTTGATTTGTCTTCTTCCTCTTATTGATCACCACCTTCCACTACACCCAGGTCAGAACCCTTCAACTGTCTAGCTCATTGTTTTATTCTCCCTTTTTTGGCCTGGACCCTTTGGCAAACTTCAAAGTCTGTACGGTTTGGTATAAACATCTTTATCTCCCCTTCTTCCCTTCTGTGTAATAATGATCTCATGTAGTATTTGTCATTTTGTGGTTGGACAACTTCACTCAGCATGATGTTCTCCAGGTCCATCCATGCCATGAAGTGCTTCATGGGTTTGCCGTTGTTTTTTATCAATGCATGATATTCCATTGTGTGTACCAAAATTTCTTTATTTATTCTTCTATCTCTGGGTATTTCGGTTGTGTCCATCATCTTGTTATTGTGAAGTGTTTCACTGATCAGGGGTGTGCATATATCTGTTCATGCTCTCACTCTTACTTTACGGTGTACACCCAGCAGAGGGATTGCTGGATTGTATAGGATTTCTATTCGCAGTTGTTTGAAGTCTCATCATACCGCTTTCTGCAATAATCATACATATTTAAAGACCCACCAGCAGTGGATGAGGGTTATGAATTCTCTGTAACCTGTCCAGTATTAGTTCTTTTCTGGTTTTTAAAACTTGACTATTATCAGTGATATCTTATTACTTGAGTTTGCATCCCCTGGATGGCTTGTAATCATGAGCAGTCTTTCATTTGTTTGTTGGCTATTTGGCTGTCATCTTTGATGACCTGTCCGTTCTTGTCCTTTGTCCACTTTATTGGGGTATTTGTCATTTTCTTATTGAGGAGTTGTTGTTTTCTATAGATTTTAGAGATTAGTCCTTTGTCCAATGCGTGATTGCTAAAGATTCCCCCCGCCCCCCCTCAGTGGGTTCTCCTTGTACGCTTTTACTGAAGTCTTTTTTTTAATGGCATTTTTAACCAACCGAGTATTTATTTATTTATTTTATTCATTTTATTATGGGCTCATACAACTCTTATCATAATCCATATATACATCAATTGTGTAAAGTAAATTTGTACATTCATTGCCTTCATCATTCTCAAAACATTTGCTCTCCACTTAAACCCCTGGCATCAGCTCCTCATTTCCCCCCTCCCTCCCTCCTCCCTCCTCCCCCCTCCCTCATGAACCCTTCATAATTTATAAATTATTATTTTGTCATATCTTGCACTATCCGACATCTCCCTTCACCCACTTTTCTGTTGTCCGTCCCCCAGGGAGGAGGTTATATGGAGATCCTTGTAATCAGTTCCCCCTTTCCACCCCACCCTCTCTCCACCCTCCCAGTATGGCCACTCGCACCACTGGGCCTGAAGGTATCATCCTCCCTGGATTCCCAGTGTTTTCAGTTCCCATCTGTACCAGTGTACATCCTCTGGTCTAGCCAGATTTATAAGGTAGAATTGGGATCATGATAGTGGGGGTGTGTGTGTGAGGAAGCATTTAGGAACTAGAGAAAGTTATATGTTTCATCGTTGCTACATTGCACCCTGACTGGCTCGTCTCTTCCCTGAGACCCTTCTGTAAGGGGATGTCCGGTGGCCTACAGATGGGCTTTGGGTCTCCAATCTGCACTGCCTTCCTCATTCACAATGATATGATTTTTTGTTCTGATGATGCCTGATACCGGATCCCTTCGACACCTCATGATCGCACAGGCTGGTGTGCTTCTTCCATGTGGGCTTTGTTGCTTCTGAGCTAGATGACCACTTATTGACCTTTAAGCCTTTAAGACCTCAGAGGCTATATCTTTTGATAGCTAGGCACCATCAGCTTTCTTCACCACATTTGCTTATGCACACATTTGTCTTCAGCGATCTTGTTGGGAAGGTGAGCATTATGAATGCCAGGTTAATAAAAGTGTTCTTGCATTGAAGGAGTACATGAGTGGAGGCCCAATGTCCACCTGCTACTTAATACTAAACCTATAAGTATATGCACATATATTTCCTATCATCATATATAAAAATATTTATATATGTACATGCCTGTATTTAGATCTCTATAAATATCCTTTGCCTCTTAGTTCTTTCCTCTATTAGATAAATAAATTCTCGGTCTGAGCATTAACTTAGCTGCATCCATTTCCAGGAATTAGAGGAGTGTCATGGAGAGCACGTGGCTTGTAGGGATTAACACATCCAGCCCCAGTATGTACAGCAAAAAGTAAAAGATGGCACTTCCCTCTCAGGTTATTTACACATTTTTTATAAAAAAGAAACCTTACTACCTCCCATGTCAACTTACTCTAGAATCAGACTGTGAGCTAGGTATGGGCTACAAAAAAGGTTATGGACAAATTTTCCTATGAAATTTTTAAAGCCCCTTCCTATTTCCCTAGTGTTTCAGCTTCATCTCCCACTCACCACCTCTGTAGACTATTTGTAGGTAGTTTTGAAAGTCTGAAAACACAGGTCCCATGCCAAAACCCTTTCTTCCTTGTACATAACACATGAGCCATCTCATCTTGGATCTGTTTGGTCTCGATCCCATCAATGATGGGGTTCAGCATAGGTGGAGCCAGGGGGCAGACATTAGCCAACAATATGTGGACAGGAGGTGAGATGTGGCATCCAAATCTCTGAGTAAGAGTTGTAAAGATCCCAGACCCATAAAATAGGATGATGACGCAGACATGGGAGCCGCAGGTGTTCACGCCTTTGTGTGGAGCATCTTCGGAAGGCGTGTGGAACACAGCGTGAAGAATGAGCAGATAGGAAACAAAAATTTGCACAAGATCTAAGAAAACTGTTACAATGAAGACAAAAAGGCCATACCAGATGTTCACTCGAATGTCATTGCAAGCATATCTGGCCAAACCAATGTGTTCACAGAAGGTGTGTGGGATGATATTATTTTGGCAGAAAGTCAGTCTTTTCAAAAGAAATATCATAGGGGAAACTATGCCATAATTCCTCAAGAAGATACTTAGACCAAATTTCCCAATCAAGGTCTGGGTAAGAATAGTGGTGCATCTCAATGGGTAGTATATGGCAATGTAGCGGTCAAATGCTGTCACCAGCAAGACCCCTGACTCAGAGAATTTTCACCAACTGTTGTAGCATTCTTGAATATTTACTTCAAATGAATGCCAATGTAAATAAAGATATCACTAACGTAGGCATTGCTATATTTCGTGGAGGAAATAATTTGTATGTGCACGTACACACATTCATAGAGTCTAAAGTATAGAGTAATGGTGAAAATCTATGAGTTGTACAGGTGATGCTTGTAATCATTTGCTTTGTTTACAAATGAAAAAGTTGAAGGTCCAGACAACATAGGAGAGGATGGCTAGAGAAATATTCTAGTGAGAGCTAAAACAAATACAACTACTTAAAGTTTTCAAATCTTTTGGGGGGAAAATAGTTCAGCTACGATCCAGTTCATCTCATGCCAACCTCCCATCTAGACTTATAAGGTGAAGAGTAACTAACAAGGTGGACGAGTCCAGTTCTCAAGCACAGGGATAAAAAGAGCAAACTAAATTCCTATAGACGCTAACATCTAATGACATCATACAGGCCTTGGGTGAAACATGAACTAAAATTTTCCTAGTTCAGTTGTTTTAGAGACATCAGTGTGTGGAGTCATTTGATTACCTTGTCTGCTCAACCTTCCTGCATTCGAAGGTTAATCTGATGTAAAGCATAACATTTCTGAGAAAAGTTCACGATCAGAATCATGTGTGCTTTGTAAAAAGTACATGAACCACCTGGTCCCGGATCTGTTTGGTCTTAATACCATAAATGATGGGATTTAGCATAGGTGGAACAAGAATGTACACATTGGCCAGGAGGACATGAATATGGGGTGAAATGTGACGGCCAAATCTCTGAGTAAGGGCTGAGAAGATCCCAGGCCCATAAAAGAGGATGATGACACAGACGTGAGAGCCACAAGTATTCAGAGCTTTGTGTCGCGCATCTTGGGAAGGCATGTGGAAGATAGCACGAAGGATCAGCACATAAGAAACAAAAATTATCACAACATCTAAGACCAGGGTTGACATCAGTACAAAGAACCCATACCAGACATTTACTCGGATATCATTGCAAGAAATGCGAGCCAAGATAATGTGTTTACAGGCAGTATTTGGGAGGATGTTATTTCTGCAGAAAGTTAGTCTTTTCAGAAGAAATATTATGGGGAAAATTGTACCATTACTTCTCAAAATGATACTTACACCAATTTTCCCAATAAGGGAATATGTAAGAAGGCTTGTGTATCTCAGTGGGTAGCATATGGCAATGTAGCGGTCAAATGCCATCGCCAGCAAGATTCCCGACTCAAAAATGAAGGTAGACGTGATGAAGAAGACCTGAGTGATGCAGCAGTCCAAGGAGATCTCCCCAGCATCGAACCAAAAGATGGCCAAGGCTTGAGGTACTATGGATGTGGACAGAACAATATCTGCTCCAGATAGCATACAGAGAAAGAGGTACATGGGTTCATGAAGGCTGCGCTTTGTGAGGATGATGAAGATGAGCAGGCTGTTCCCAAGCAGGGCAATGATGTAGGAAAGGATGAAGGGGATGGAGATCCACATGTGCTGGTCCTCTAGTCCAGGGACACCCAGCAAACGGAAGACTGTGTGACTCACGCCAGTGTGGTTTAAGGTAGTCATCCCTGAAGCAGACAACCTGCGGCCTCCTCTTCATAGACACAGAAGAAAATTCTAATTCAAATTGATTTATTTGTATGTCACTTTAGGTTAGTAAGAGCTATGTTATAATAAAGTTGAATAAGATATGGTTTGTTTGCACGATGAAGTCTTACTTTCATAAACAAGATAGATAATCATGCAGCTAAAGAAAGTTATATGATCTAATGGTACAAAAAATAAAATTCAATACTGGAATATAAGAGAAGGAACAATTCATCCTGTATATCTGATGATAAGAAGGAGTCCATATTTGAGTTTACCCTTGAAGATAGTGTATAATGCCAATAGAAGAATCAAGCAGACAATGGAATGAGGTCAGTTGGTAGTTTAAGGAGAAATGTTTGATATGCAAACACCAAGTTTATTTAAAATAGCAATGAGCTCTGTGACTGTGTGGTTGTGACAATTGGAAAGTTGAGCAATTGGTGAAGAGAAGACACCAAAAGTATGTTTATTTTAAAGCAAAATGAGGAGCTTGGACCTCCCTTGTGAAGAACTGGTCAGTTCTGTTGAGTTTACAAATATTTCTCATTATTAATCTGGCAACCAAGTAGAGTATAAACCAGAAGGGAGGTGTTCAGGGCGGTCAAGTGTTTAGCAAGGTAAATAGATGAACTGATGGATCAACATCAGAATGAAATGGATAATATTAGGAAATCAACCTTTTAAGTATTTTCTCAATAGTAACCATTTTACAGTGATAAAAAGATCACTCACCTGCTTCGAATGGAGTTCTTATGAGCAAGAATGGGCTGAGTCACATAGAACTCTCAAAAGGATGGGCGTGAAAGAGTTGCGATTTAATATATTTTCCTGAAGGTCTCAGGGGAAGCTCTATCCTGGGAGCCCATCTTACAGCTGCGTTTTCGATGAGACAGCATCTCTCATATACATGGGTCACATCACTGTGGCTCTCTAAGTCTGTCCACATACAACTTCATCCACAACTCTATCCATGGATGGATACGTACATGTGACATTTTCAGTGACTAAGATGTTAGCATTCATTTGAATGGATTAGTAACTATTAACCCCATTTTCAATCAGCACAAAGAATTTTGAAGTCTCTGGGTAAATGAATGAGCCCTGGTGGTGCAGTGGGTTATGAAGTTGACTGCTTACGTAGGCTTAGCAGTCAAACCACCAGCCCCCGGTCAGAGAATGAGGACACTTCTACTGCATAAATGGTTCCTTTTGAAACCCACAGAAGCTGTTCTACCCCATCATATAAGGTCACTATGCTGGCATGTCTACTATACCTGTGAGAGTCAATATTACTAAGGAAAATATTCTATACCCTTCTTTTCTTTGGCTACCAAAATCTACATTTAATTTTCGATTAGAATATGATAGTCATTTAATTATTAGGAAATTGATTATGCTATTGCTGATAGAAATCTCCACTTTTTATATTATTTTCACATGTTTTATTTTTATTGCCAAACCAACCTCCCTGCCATGGAGTCAGCTCTGACTCATAGTGCCCCAATAGGACGGGATCGAACTGCCCTTGTGCGCTTTTGAGACTGTAACTTAGTGAGGAGTCAAACGCCTCCTGGGGCTCCCGTGGGAGGGTTGGTGGGTTCAACTACGGACTTTGCAGTTAGTAGTTCAACCCACAGCACACTGTTGCTGCTGTCATTAGGTGCCACTGACTTGGTTCTGACACACAGTGACCCAACGCACGACAGAATAAAACACTGCCTGATCCCATGTCATCCTTGTAATTGTTTCTATGTCCGAGCCAATTGCTGTGGCCCAAGTACCAACCCATCTCCTTGAAGGCCTTCCTCTTTATCGCTGCCCCTGCACTTCACCAAGCCTGATGTCCTGTTACAGGGAATGGTCTCTCTCGACAGTATTTCCAAAATCTGTAAGACAAAGTCTTACCATTCTTGCCTCGAAGGAGCACTCATAATATTAATGCATCTGTTTTAAATACCTGAATTGCATATTTGGACTGCAGTTATGTTAGAGTTTCTCCTTGTTCTTAGGCAATAAATACTTGTTCAATATTTCAAGTGAAGAATCATGCCATCTTTAGCCGATTTTCTAATGTAACAGTAAAATAAAGAGTGTAGGAA